ACACATCTTCTTTGGTTAAATGATTAAATAAATCACTTGAAAAAAAAGAGGTAATACAAATACACAAATTGCATTCTTCTTTTCATACACTTTTTCATTTTTCAATTTCCATTACTCCAGTGTCTACATATCTCTGGGATCCTTTTTAGCTCATCAGAAAGCTGAAACAAAAATATATACCAATCTATTAGTCTCTGAAATAAAAGTAGGCTTAAATATCTTGATTTTAACAGAGCAAAGAATGTTTGGGTGTATGGATAATAAACTTTGAGTATCGATAACAAAAAGTGAGAAACCCTCAGATACTGAGGTAGTCTTAGGAGAAAATGTAATAGATATAACTTCAAATTAAAATATCTCCTGAAGAGCCCGGCCGGCGTGGCTCAGTGGTTGAGCGTCAACCTATGAACCAGAAGGTCATGGCTAAATCTCCAGTGTAGGGCGTGTGAACCCCAGTGTGGGGTGTGCAGAAGGCAGCCGATTGGTAATTCTCTCTCATCATTGATGTTTCTATCTCTCTCTCCCTTCCTCTCTGAAATCAATAAAAATATTTTTAAAAATATATCCTGAAGATAGACACCAATTAATAATTGAATTAATCATGATGATCAAATAAGTAACAGAAGTCCCAGCAAAATTACCCTTGTATCCCAGTTAGTATTCTACAGAGTAGAAATTATTTTAAAATATACTTACACAGAACAATGAAAGTATAAAGTTGGGAGGTTATAAGTCAAGAATCAAAGACCTGCCCTGACCAGTTTGCTCAGTGGATAGAGCATCGGCCTGCAGACTGAAGGATCCCAGGTTTGATTCTGGTAAAGGGCATGTGCCTTGGTTGCGAGCACATACCCAGTAGGGAGTGTGCAGGAGGCAGCTGATTGATGTTTCTCTCTCATCGATGTTTCTAACTATCTCTCTTCCTTCCTCTCTGTAAAAAATCAATAAAATATATTTTAAAAAAAACCCAAAGACCTAATAGGTTTTAGTCTTAAATAAGTTTGCAAGAAAAAAATGCAAGATTAATTTATGTTGTTCATTGATTAAAAGACATCTAAGAATGTCACAATATAATGAATCAACTAGGGAGTTGTTCAAAATTATATACTAAAAAGTTGAATTAAAATATAAAGATTGAATTTAGGTTTAAAAATATCATTTGATATACTTTACCTTTAGTGTTCATAATCATTTATACAACATGAAAATGTTGTATTAAAAGAATAGGAATTATAGTAACTGGCACTCAGGTTATAAAATTAAACTAAATTACAACAACCCTAATTATGTACATTTCTCTTGGCTATTAACAGAGTAAAATCTAGAACTTATAACCAGGAGAGTAATTTCCTTCCTGAGCCTGAGAGAGCTCTATGAAGATTTCAAGATGTTCTTACACACTCTTCCATACACAGTCTACAAACTGGATTTTCATCAAATGTTCTGTTTATGGCATAAAGAGCCCTGAAAAGTAGAGGTAAAAAGTCTTCAAAAACATTTAAAAATAATTATCCCCTTGCCCTGGCCTGTTTTGCTCAGTGCTTAGAGCATCAGCTCTCAGATCGAAGGGCCACAGGTTTGATTCCTGGTCAAGGGCACGTACCTTGGTTGCATGTGGGAGGCAACCAATTGATGTTTCTCTCTCCTCCTCCTCCTCCCTCCTAAAAGTATCCTCAGGTGAAGATTAAAAACAATAATAATTTCCCCCTCAAGAGGTAGTATTGCATGCACACAAGGAATTGTGTGGGTAGATATGGCATAAAATGTTCTAATTATTGTTTTATAGATTTTAGATTAAATTAGGTGATGTTAGAATAACCCTGAAAGATGCTCCTGAGAAATCAAATATCATTGTCCATTATATAATTAAACTAATTTTATATGATATAAACCTAAATTAAGTTAAAGCCTATCTCTTTGCTTTACAAGCTAGAAGCAAAAAAAAAAGTATTATAAAGCAACATGAGCTCTGATCTTTGTAAATATAGGTAATCACTATGTAAATCATACCTATATGGATATCCATGATATTTAGATCTGAAAATAGAGAGCAACCAACTGAAGAATAATACAACGAGTCCAATACCAGCCACACACATTACTGTAGAAAAACAAAAGCAGAGTAAAATGAGCATGTTAAGTGTAATGACAAACCAGGGCATACATTTTAGTCTACACTTTCAAGAGTGAAAAAACAAGAGCTATAACTTATTGGTAAATCTCAACTTTCCATCCCCATTCTTTTCTCTTCAGGATTCTGCCTTTTGCTTTAATTTGTTCTATTACAATATAATGGAGTAGCTTCATTTACATAGTTGTGCAATTTAACTGTATGAATTAATGAATTCTTTTAATGCCATGATAATCAAGAATTTAGTGTTAAAAAGTTTTATTATTAACAAGAAAATTACTTATTAAACTCCTTTTAAACCCTTAAATATGGTTTTATTGATAAATACTGACTTAAAGACATCTGATCACATTTTAACAGTCTCACTGGAAAGTACCCTGCATAAGTAACTATTACCAGGCATATGCAGGAACACCTGGTCAGAACCAACGCCCCACTACCACCTTTGTGTAAGATAAATCATATGGCCAAAAGTTAACTAAAGCAGTTTAAGGAGCTCATTCAACATGGATGCCTCATTTAAATGAGGGGTGGGGGGGAAACCTGATTCTTAAATTCTTTGCATTAATCTCATATGCTCTGGTTTAGCATAGCAGTTAATGACTTTAACTCCAGATACTGATCCCACAATGCTCAAGTATGATTCCCATAACTTGAGACTCTTTGAGTCCCTGGACTAAGACTAGCTACGAAGCATAAAGGTAGGGATGTGGGAAAGCATGTGTGCTACAGCAGTAGAAGCTTGAGTGAAATATACTTATTGGCCAATAATAAAAACAAATTTTAGTTTTCTTATATTAGAATAATTCTTTTTCCCTTTTTAATTTTCACACAATACGATTAGGGGCTAAAATGTAAAAGTTAAACATATGTAAAATACATATAACAGCTGATTCGATTACATTTTCAAAGTGTGTATACATTTTTTGGGATACCCTATATATACAGTATCACTCTATATGTTGTATTCTACTTTTTTCACAGAACATATCTAAAAGTACTTAGGGCAGTTCCTGGTACACAGTAAGTGCTAATGAAATTTTTATTATTATTTGTGATTATTTCATTAGGTTAGAATCTTAGAAGTAGATCAAATTATGATTATTTTGCCCTGACTGGTTTGGCTCAGTGGATAGAGCATCGACCTGTGGACTGAAGAGTGTCAGGTTCGGTTCCAGTCAAGGGCATGTACCTTGGTTGCGGGCATATCCCCAGTGGGGATTGTGCAGGAGGCAGCTGATCGATGTGTCTCTCTCATCAATGTTTCTGACTCTCTATCCCTCTCACTTCCGCTCTGTAAAAAAATCAATAAAATATATTTAAAAAAAAAATTATGATTATTTTAATGTCTCCAAAATGCTTTACAACTTAAATTCATGCCAGCAGTATAGTACCCAGATGGCCTTTTTCCAGTAATGAATACAGAAATAGACAATTTTTAAAAAGTCAAGCAATTAAAAGATGTATATTAACTGAATAAAAAATTGATACGTTATGTTTTCCTAATATGTAAAAATTCACTTTAATGTAGCAAAATAAGTATCTTTCAAATTTGAAATCCAATGTCATCATCATTTTTTAGAAGAAAAAGTGAGTAGATTTAGCTAGGTTAATTTTGATGACATTTAACTTTTAACCGTAAAAGGAAAACTCGCACTTAAATTGATTTCTTGTAAGTAAAATAAAACTATATTGTTAGCATTTCTTTGCAACAAATACCAATGTGTTAATATTCTAATATATAAAAAGCCCATGCAAACCAATAAGAAAAGGACTAAGACTCTAATAGATAAATGGCAAAAAGACAAAAAGATGTTTTACAGAAAGAAAAGCACAAACAGCTAATAAGCATTTAGGAAAATATTCAATTTCACTAATAACCAAAGAAGTACAAAATAATATTAACATCTCCCCCTTATCTGATTAGACAATAAACACACATGAACACATGCTTTGTTAAGGTTACCTAATACTGATGAAGTTACAGCGAAAGAAGCATTCCTAAATACTGCTAGTAGGAATCTAAATTATCGTAACATTTGGGAAAAGAAGTTGGCACCATCAGTTTAAAACATCAATAGAACTGAAACTACTCATACACAGAACCACACATTCTACTTCTAGGAAATCTACCGTATGCTATAGGTTGTTTTTTTTTAGGTTTTTTTTTTGGGGGGGGGGGTGAAACTGGACAACTTGAACATATAGGTTTTAGGTGTGGGTTTCTATGTTACAAGATCTGTATATTGCACCATGTGCTCACCACTCAAAGTCAAATCTCTTGTCACATATATTAGAACCCCTTTCTCCCCCTACCTTAAGATATTAATATGAAACTAGAGGCCTGGTGCACGAAATTTGTGCATGGGTAGGGTCCCTAGGCCTGGCTGGCAATCAGGGCTGATTGGGGCCTTCCAGCCGCCAGCTGGGGCCTCCCTTCGTTCCGCGCCACCCCCTGGTGGTCAGTGCACATCATAGTGAGCGATTGAACTCCTGGTCTCACTCCCAAAGGAACAATTTGACTA